GGGCACACAGGGTGGCACTGGCTACCAGGGATGTCAGCCCCTGCCTGCAGAAACCACCAGCAGCGTCCAGGCTGGGACTTGGCCTCCCGAGGCTTCTTCCTGCCTGTGTGTTCTGGGCTAGCAGCCATGCACAGGAGCTGGGCTTCAAGAGGCCCCTTTGGCCCCACTCCTCCCTGAACCCCGGGCCCAGCCCCTGTCCTGAGCCCTGGGAGCCTTTGGGGAGAGTGGGAGGGAACCGCCCTGCAGCCACCACCCTGGCCTGCTCGCCTTCCCCATCCTCCCCCAGGTGCTTGGCTGTTCATTCCCAGGCAAACCCCTTCACCTCTCTGGGCCTCCATTTCCTTTCCTGTCAAATCTAGGAGTTGGCAGAAGACAGCTGTGATTCCTTCCGGCTCATCCAGTCTTTTCCAAGATCACAGAGCTGGGAGGAGAGTCTCCAGTTCAAGCACTTTTTTCCTTACAGTAAAAATGCAATGATAGGCAGCCCTCAGAATCCTGTGCCTACAGGTTCAACCCAACACAGGTGGAGGGCTCTCCAAGAAAAGATGGCGTGCTGTCACCAACGGGAGCTGTGTGGAAGGCCCGGCACTGGGAGGAGACTTGGTCTGTGCTGATTGTACACTGTTCTGCTTTCTTGTCTTTATGCCTTAAACGATACAGTGTAACAACACTTTCCTCCCGGCTCACATTGTTTAAGTATGGTGCATGTTCTAAGTTAAGGGCAAGCCCTGCCCTGTTTTATGTAAGGGAACCGAGCCCCCAGGGTGTTGGTATCCGCAGAGGTCCCAGTGTGGAGCCCGGGGATGCCTGTGCTGTCTAGGACAGGATGCCATGAAGGGGACATTCAGACAGATTGCCTGTCTTCTGCTCTCTCCAGCTCATTCTCAGAGGTTACACCTCTCCCTGACCTCTCCTGTGTCCTGCGATGTGAGGCTGATACTTCCCTCTTTCGCAGAAAGAGGTAAAGGAAAAGGAAGTTCTCTGACCGTAGATTTCAGGGCGGAGGTGCTCCAAGGTTCTCCAGGATTCTCAGCTATCTGGAGTGAAGAGAGGCGAGCTGGAGGAGCAGGCTGATGACCCTGGCCAACTGCCCTCTGCCTGCCCTTTTACTCCTGGAAGTTGCCACCTTAGCTGACAAGTGATGGGCATCTCTCAGACACAATAAACAGCCTCCTCGAGGTTTGGGGCTGCAGAGACCACTGTGGCTCCAAAGCCAACATCTTTGTAGGCGAAGCACTTCCCATATTTCAGGGTCCCCTTGTGCTGCAAACCTGTGCTACCCCAAAGCCTGTGGACAGAGGAGAGAGTGACCATGGGCAAGGATGATGAGCAGGGCTGGGGGAACCCATCATGTAACTTGAAGTGTGTCTACACATGGTGCCATTCTGGAACATTCTGGAAGCATCCAGAGAGCACAGCCCCTGCTGAAACCCTGCATCCTCCTCCCACTTTTCCTAATAATAAGAGCTTTACCTTCTTCCAACTCCCACATCTATACAACATTCAGGGTTTGGAGCAGTCTCCACCCCAAACTCAAATGTGATCCCCAAAGGGATAGGGGGGTGACCACCAGCCTTCTCGGGTGGGAATGACCTGGCCAATAGGTGGCCAATGCCCTACATCTTCACAGGTGACACCAAGCAAATGTAGACTTCGGCTGAAATAGGAGCAGTTCTGGAAGTCAGATGAAAGAACTTTCTGAGGGTGGGCATTTTAGACTAGCTCACACAGGGAATTATTCCCAGGGGGTCCTCAAACTGAACAGAAAGCTGTCTTCCAAGAACCACAAGCAGGCTGTGTGCCAAAGCAGGGAGGACCTTAAGGGGACCCAAAGGCACTGCAAACCCCAGCTGAGTGCCAGCGGATGACATCCACAGAGGCCCCCAAGCTCCCCCTGGGTCACACTTCAGGTCCTTTCCTTCCATCTCCAGACAGTAGGTCCCAAGGTGACATCAGTGAACACCTGGTTTCTAAGTTCTTAGCTGGCCACCAGCTTGCATGCTAAAAGCAGTAGAAATCACCTGCAGAAATCCAAAGCCACAGGGCTCCTCTGTGCACGGCGGAGAGCTCTGCGGGCCCTGAGATGCCTGTAAACTCATTGCGTCTCCCCCGAGGCCACAGGGCAGGTACAGGATGCACCCGTGTCCCAGCAGGACCCGGTGAGGGTGAAGGCCTGGAACTTCTCCTGACCCAGTTCCCACCCAGGGACACTGATGTTTGCACCCTGTGTGGCTGGAGAAGCCGCCGCCACCTGCTGACAGCCTGGACAACCCTTCCATGATCAAGGTAAAAGGGAAGGATCACCCAGTGGGAGCTGCCACCAATGGCACCCCAAGATGCGAAGAGTAAAGAGAAGTGAGCCTGTGAGAAGTGAACCCCCTAACTGTCAGCAGTTCGTACTCCCAGAGGTGAGGAGCTGTGGGAATCCAGTGACCAGGTGAGACCCACATGGGGCCCAGCTCAGGACACAAACTGGGGATGTTCACTGCAGGCAACGACCCAGTTACCACGAGTTAGGCACGAGGCTGGTCAGATAAAGCCAATGAGGTTACCATGCAGAGAGTGATAGAGACGGATGTCACTGTCACTGTCATGTCGTAGGATGCAGAGCCCCTGGCCTGTGGCCTGTCCATCTCTCCAGGGTCGGAACTTGTGCAACTATACATGCAGAGACACCGGTGGGGCAAGGAGTGCAGGATGTGGAAACGAGTGTGCTAAAAGTAAACCATGGGAAATTCGTCTTTTTCAAAGTTCTGTTCCTATTGATTTTCCAAGAAAATGGCTTTTGCGGACAAGTTTAATGACATAGAAAAATGTTATTTAATGTGAATGAGTAAAAAAACTCTATCATAACAGGCACATGTCAATACATGTCTGTGAGTAATTAAATCATGATTTAAAAAACCACCGGGGGTGGGACGCAGCCCAGCGGTAGAGTGAGCGCTCGCCTGGCCTCAGGAGGCCCGGCTCCATCCTCACCACTGTGAAAGCAAACAAAAGTCAGCAGGAAACGCTGTGAAGAAGCATTGGTAATGTCTCCTAAGTTGTTGGCAGTGGGTGGCTTATTTTTTTCTTTGTAATCTATTATTTTTTCTCAACTTTCTATAGGGATAATGTCTCTACTGAGACTTAGAACGCAGACAGACACAGCAATAGGGACAGATGGATACACAGATGAGGAGTGAGGATGGGCAGAAAGATGGTGAACAGGGAGGGGGATGCGGCAGAGGGAGAGACAGAGAGAAGGAAGGAAAAAGAAAGAAGACAAGAGGGTAGACTGGTGGATAGACGGATGGCTAACAGGTCTCCTGCAAGAGAGCCTGCATTGCTGGATGCTCCACTGCCAACAACCACCCAAGTCCCGTGGGAGTACAGTGACCATAGCCATGGCGGGGACATTTGACCCCCATTGGGTCAGGAAGTAGGTGTCACCAGACGGATGATGGGGTGATGGGTGTGAGGGTCTTGAGCATGTGCCCAGAGACACACAGGTGAGGGCCCAGAATGGGAATCTTCACCTGGCTGAGAGGCGCCCTCTGCACTGCGTACTGTGGGTGACAAGCAGTCCCCACCCAGTGATCTCTGGCAATGAGTGACATGGGGACTTCTACAGCGGCAACACTGTGCACTGCCATCTGGGCCCTCAGCGAAAGCAAACTGTGCTTCCAGCACCACTCCAGCAGGGGAACCCTGGACGGCAGCCGGGACCCCCAGACAGCCCTGGCTTCTGGCAGGAGGCTTCCCCAAGAGCAGAGTGGGCACAATGCCCACCTCCTTCCTGCCTTAGCAGAGGCGTGGTGGCACCTGCCCCACGCTGTGTGCAGGGACAGGCCCTGGCAGAACTGCTCCCCCAGCAGTGACCCTGCCGAAGCCCCATTTACTGGCCACTGTGCTGGCCAGGCCTGCAGCCTCATCTTGGTCGGGCTGTCACTTCCTCAGACACACATCCTTAGCCCATGTCACTTGTTGCCTGAGAGGTTAGGTGTGGGTGGCGCAGGACTGAATTCCATGCCACAGAGAAGCATGAAAGCAAGGGCTCCAAGCCCGGCTGCGACACTGTCCAGCTGCTATTCTGCCCACAAGGGCGTCTGGCGGGTGCCCTGGCACAGGCACTGAGCCCACTGCCAGCCTCCACCTTGGGCCTCAGTGTTCCCAGCTTTGCCAGGGGATGATGGGCCCCCCTCTTGGGGCCGTGAGTGAGAAAGAGCCCATAAAACTCTCTGAAAAGCTCCTGCACCTATAAAACGCTATTAAGCTAACGAGCAAAGCTTAGGATCGGCTGAAGAACGGGAAGAGGCCCATCTGGCCCCCTGTGCCCCACCCCTTGGTCCCGAGGAAGCCCACTCTGCCCTTGACTCCAGCAAGTCACGACTGCTTCCCGACAGGGAGCCAGGTGAGGTGACCTGCCCGGAGACTGAGTAATCTGCAGTCTCTCCAGGTACTTTTTCCTGGGAGTCTAACTCTAACCCTGGCCAGACTGGCATTCCTTCATCCCCACTCCACGCTGTCTGTCCTGCCTTCTCCACAAGGGGTTCCGTCCCCTCGGGTCACCCAGAAAGGGGTGAGGAAGGTATAAGACAATGTAAAAAAAGCAACATGGCTCGTCCAGTAAGTACATAACTGAAGGAAAGTAACTCGGTGTCACCACCGTCACCATCATCTCATTCCAGTTTGCAGGTGTGAAGTCACCTGCAGGAGAAAACTGCTTGTCCTGGGGACTCTGAGTCAGCTTTTCTTCCAGTGCTAATGCTAACGCACTTCTCTGCTGTGTGAAATTGGCCCTCATTTGTTTGATATAACTCATAATATAAGATAAGCCACTGCTGGAAGATGGCAGATTTTTGAAATAAAAAAGTTGGTGCAGAAAACATTTTGACCAGTACCACAAGTAGCATTGGACATAACAACTGCACCCCACTGGAAAACTTTTTCTTTTTGCACACACACACACAAACATACACATACACATACACGCACATGTTTTTCAAATGACAGAATGGTCATGGTACAAAACAGTTTATTTAAATTAAATATTTTTTGACAAATTAATATATAACCATTCCAAGCAAGTATAATCCTTACAAAAAAATGGAAAAGTTTAGCTTAATGTCTGTGATACTATTTTACAAGATTATTAATACACCTCTGGGTTTTGCACCAGAACGGTTCACTATTTATTACCAATGGCATATACAGTAATAACATAAGGATTAATCATATCAGTGATTTTACAGTGAGACTTCTTGGAAGGAAAAAAGAACCTGTCAACAATACAAAATACAAGGTGAACATAATAGGAGGATATATAAAACACACTTCATTTGGGCAATAATATGCTGATGTTAAGACAAGTGAGGGACACGTTAGGCTTGCTCCTTGGAAGGAAGTTTGGGGGAAGACGGGGAACGGAAATGTCTGGGGCTCAAGACCGGCGGCGTCAGAGTCACAGTGTGTTTCTGCTTGGGAAGCCAGTCTCACCCAGGTGCCGTGGGGATGCCGCTCTCCGTGCAGGCTGAGGACAGTGCTGGGGACTGGCTGGCTGGCAGGGAAAGGAAGTCTGCTCCCGGACAGGACAGAGTGCTGGGATGTCGAGATGGCTTCTTTGCATAGGGGACTAGCTCAGGCAAAGGAAGAGCAAGCAGAAGAGAGAAAGAAATTCCAGGAAGGGGAGAGAGGGAGCTGAGATGGCGGGAAGCACAGAGGAAGCAGACAAAAGGGTGAAATTCTGCTTAAGACACCACCAACACATCTGGCTGTGCAGAAAGAGCCCCTGCTCTGTCTGGGTAGGAGCCTGGCTCTTTGAGCTTTCGGAGCAGCAAGCGGTGAGAGACTGCTTTACACTCCATGGGGTGTGCATAAAGGGGAGGTTAGGGGCATCTCTCTCCGACTCTCTCCATGTGTGCGTGAAAAAAAGAATTCATCTAAAAATACATCTTAAACAAAACAGCTTGAATTCAGTGTCATTCCCAGTGATGCTGTCTGACTTTCTGAATCTCCATCTGGAAGAGTCCTGCAACCCGAGGGTCCCTGGGGAAGGGAGGCAGCAGGAGCAGAAAGCCCAGGTCCACAGCTGTGTGCACAGGGCTGGGCTGTGTGTCGTGAGGACTGCCCGATGTCCCGCAGAAACTGGACTCAGAAACTGGAGGACAGTGCAGGCCTTGGCCGTCCAGCCCACCCCGGCTCCAGAATAAGGGGAGGGTGCTCGGGGTTAGAGTGTCTGTGGCAGTGCTAGGATTCTGACCTTGGCTCTTCGTCCCCCAGCGAGCAGGTGTGGCTCCCACCCAGCGATGGGCCAGGCGTGCAGAGCAACTCATTCCAGGAGGTACAGAGCAACCCAAGGAGCTGAGGTGCCTGGTCCCTGGCTGCAGCCCAAGCAGTTTACTTGAAGGAAGTCCGGCTCCACAAACCCGGTCCAGCTGTAGGATGAAGCTCTGGGGCCGGCTTTGGGGCCTCCCTGAACAGGGGAGGAGGAAGGCTGATAGCACTGTGCAGTCTGCTCACGCTGTCCACGGGATGGACAGGGCAGCAAGGGCTGGGCCGGGCCGCCGGGCGTGTGCCTCAGGCTCTAGGATGCACTGTAGCTGTTGTAATATGCAGCCGTGGCATCTGCCAGGACGGAGATGAGGCTGGTCTCTGTGGGGCCCGAGGGGGTCACCTGGGAGAGTGGAGTGTGCCCGCTCAGGGCCCCAGCCCCAGCGGCAGAGTCTGGGTGGCCAGGAGTGTTCAAATATTGGTCAAATTCATTGCGATCCATGTCCCCCAGAAGTTCCACCTGGCTCAGCTGATCCAAGGCGTCAAAGCCGGGGTGCTCTGGAGGCGGGGAGAGCTGGCCCAGGTGGGTGTGGAGGGTGGAGTGCAGTGGGTGGTAAGTGGCTGGGGAGTAATAGGCAGGAGATGGGGGACAGCCAGGGACTGTGGACATCACTGACACCCCTGGGGTCTGGCCAAGGGCCAGAGAGCCCAGGGGGTGGCTGCAGTGGATGGGGCTGGGGGCCAGCTCGGGGGAGTAGGGGGACCTGGGCAGGTGCTGCAGGTGTCGGGGGTGGGCGTGCTCCTCCGGGCAGGGGGAAGAGAAGAAGGTCTGCTCCGGCTCCAATGCATCCAGGGGAGACATCTCGGGGGGCGTGGGCAGCCCATAGGGATATGTGTCCACACTGCCGGAGGAGCTGCCGGCCGGGCCCTCATGGAAGCAGCTGTGGAGGCTGGGCAGAGCGGTGCCTGTGGAGTACTCACCCCTGCCCTCCTTCTCGCCCTGTGCCCCGCAGCCACTGCTGCCCTTCTCTGGCAAAGAGTTCTGGTCCCGGGAGAGGGAGCTCAGCAGGAAGCCAGGGTCCACGCGCTTGCACAGGCGCTTGGCCTGCTTCTTCCTGCGGGGCCTGTACTTGTAGTTGGGGTAGTCCTGCATGTGTTGCAGCCGCAGCCGCTCTGCCTCGTCCACATAGGGCCTCTTCTGCGACAGTGACAGCGCCTTCCACGACTTTCCTGTTCACACAACCAGAGAGAGCTGCGCTCAGCATCTGGGCTGCTGGGGGGGCCGGCCAGTGCACCTGCCCCACGCCTCCTCACATGGCTCCACCCTGCAGCACCCTCACTCCAGTGCTGAGCCCCAACACACTGGAGGCTGTACCAACCCCTCTTGCTCGCAGCCTACAGAGCCACTCCATGCTAGGCGTGCACAGAGACACCAGGTGCCACGCCAGCAGGGCACGTCTCTTGATTCAGTATCAGTGACAGGAAAAAAAATACCCAACAACCTTGACACTGGCTGAGGCTCTTCCTATCCTTCGAGGGCTAGTTCTGATCGTGTGTGCTTCTAAATGCAAACTTCCTGCCTCTCAGTGATACTATAATAATCTCTGGCATCACTCTCCCAGTGCTTGGTTCGGCCAACCCAGGCTCAGCAGCTTCACAGATGCAAATCAATTGCAGGGTCTCACCTAGGCTAACAAATGACCAGTCTCCACCAAGGAGGTCAACAGGGGCTCTACAGAAAGAAGACCTGCGTGCACACACAAGGTAGCACTTCTTGCTGTGTACCTGCCATAACAGCTCAGAGCCAGAGCTCTATCTTTAAGAAGCAGCCTGCTTGTAACTCACCAGTGCTAAGATGCTACACTACTTGACTTCTTAACTCTCATTCCTTGCTGTCTGTTGTTTTGCAAATCATCTTGGTGTCTCTCTTTTATCCACTCCTCTGGATCCAGAGCATTCTGATGAGAGGATAAAAGACTTCTAGACCCGTAGGTCCCTACCTCTTTGAACTGTCTCAGGATTCTGCAACCTCCCCATGTTCCCCCATGACACTAACAGAGCCTGAAGGCTGAGACCCACCAGCCGAGAGGCCAAGGCCCTGGCTAAGCCCTGAAAAGAAAGGGGCTGAGTCTCCCACTTAGCATGCTCCATCTGAAGAGTCAGCACATTAGCTGTTTATGTGGTGATCCTCAAGCCCTGGGAGGGAGAGCAAGTATTTAAGCTTATCAAGGAGCAGTTTAATGTGTTTGGTGTTCTTGAATGGGGAGGTATTAGAAATCAAACTAAGGACCTCGAGCTTGCCAGGCAGGTGCTTTGCCGCTGAACTAAATCCCAGGCCCAAGAGGGCAATTATTAAAGCACTGTATCACTTGGGTAATACAACTATTACAACAACTCTGGAGTGCCAGTCACTGTCACGAGCTGTCACTTCACAGGTGACACAAAAAGGGTTAGGATCTCCAGATGCTGGTCAGGACACTGGTCCCTGGCCTGCAGCTGAGGCCACAAAGATCTTATAAGAGTCCTGCAACCCAGATACAGCCCACACTCTGTGCCCCAGATAGATGTGACCAGCTCCTAAATGTGCCTGGATGTCCTAGTGGCGATAAACACAGGTCTGACCTCACAGTCCTCATGCACTCTCTCCTGCGGTACTAGGAACGCTGGTGCCTCTGGTGAAGCGCCCAATGTCACAGTTTTTGGAAAGTTTACAGTGGAAAATTTGGGACCTGCATCCAGCCCCTTTTTTTCACAGGTCAGAAGGAGGAGGGCTGAGCCGAAAGATCAAGGCTGGAGGTCGCTCATCTCACTGCCGGGGCCCTGTCAGCAGTGCAGCAGGGAGCTGGGACCCCTCTACTGCAGTCACATCCAGGGTGGGAGCAGGTACCAGCAGGGATGGCTGCCGGCAGGGCTCTGCGTCCTACATCCCTGTCCCTCTGCCAGCCCTTATCCCCAGGAGCAGCCACCTCGACTCTGCAGGGTGAGTCTCTCCCTTACTGCTGCCCTACTGCTGCCGGTGCCCACAACAGAAACCTGGTAACCACTGGCAGCTTTCTGTACCCAGCTGTGCCAATAGGACCAATAGGACCTCTGGGGGAAATATTTTTTAAGAAACCATTTTAGTTAATTCACCAAAAAGTATTTCTATTTTTTAAAAAATTAACAAAAATATGGGCTTTTAGATTAAAGAAAAGATAGTTATTATTACCTAGGTGAACAATGTTTCTCGTAGTGCTAACAACGGTGCAAAACAGACATTTTACTCTTCCGTACTAAGGCCGAGGCGCCGCCAGAGCATCTGGGACGCGAGGCGCAGGGGCCCAGGGATTCGGCCAGCCTGACTCTGCCTACCCGGAGGGTGCCGGCCGCGCTCCAGGCCAGGCTCCAGCCAGCGCTGGGTGCTAGCATTCCCTCACTGCGGGGGGAAGGAGCCCTACGCTCCGACGGGAAAAGGAAGGGCCAGTTCCGCCGCGGCCGCCGGGCGGGGTTGAGTGACCGCACGTCCCTCTGGGGGGCCTGGCGCCCGCGCCACAAGCACAATGCGCTGCGATTCTCATCTTGTTCAAATGGATCAGACCCGGGCCGCAGAGAGGGCCCCAGAGGAGCAAAGAGCTGCTGGGGAACTCGGGATTTTCGGATGCGTCCTGACGCCCTAATCCTCAGTTCCTCCGGCCTGACCCCTCCCTGGCCCCAGCGTCCCGAGGACCCAGCGTCGCCTGCGCACCCGCGACACACATGCACGCGTTAGGAATCACGGATACCCGGGCAGCTCTTTTCCGGCTGTCAGCTTAGTAACCAAGCAAAAAAAGAGGTTCACTCCCAGCTCACTCCAGGGGCCTCTCCTCGCGCGCACTCCTTGCGAGGTTGCCCGCGGCAGTCTCCCTCTGCCTGTCCGGATCGGGAAGCGCAAGGAACAGTGCGGTTTCCTGCTCCAACCTTCCCGGCAAGCCGGGGTTCCCGCCTCGACGTTTCCGCCCCGGCAGCGTCCAGGAGGCCGGGCAACCGCCTTGGGGCTGGGACCTCGGGCCTCTTCCCACAGGAGGGGCCTCCCGGAACCCCGGAACCCCCAGCCGGCAGTTTCACTTTGCACCGCGCGGGCCCATGTGTCCCTGCTTCAATTCTGGCGCCGAGCGCGCCCACGACGGGGCAGCCGCGCTCCGTGCCCCGCGATCCTGCCCGCCGCCCTCGGGGAGCCCCGCCGCCCGCCGCTCACTCACCCAGCATCTTGCTGAGTTCCGCGTTGTGCAGGTCTGGGTTCTGCACCGCCAGCCGCTTCCTCTCGTCCTTGGCCCACACCATGAAGGCATTCATGGGCCGCCGGATGCGACTCTCGGTACCCTTGTCCCCGGAGGGCCGGGGGGCGGCCGGCGACGACAGCCCATCGGACAGCTCCGCCTCCAGGCCCGCACACTCCAGCCCTTCGGGCCACGGGTAGGCTCCCAGCAGCGAGGCCATGGCCGCACGGGGTCGCCGGGCTTCGCCTCGTGGGGCCGGTGCTGACCAGGCCCTCACTTAGGTCGGGGCGTCCAGCTTGGCCGCCGGCCGCGGCCGGGCCCCTTATTTATCAGCTTCGGGCGCTCGGGTCCGCCAATGAGTCTCTGAGGCGGCGCGGCCCCTCCCCGTCTCCGCACGGGTCCCCTCCCTGCGCCCCCACGCCGCCTCCCGCACCGACCTGCAGGGGAGAAGGGAGGGCGGGAGGGAGACAAGGGAGGGGCAGGGCCTCGGCTCGCGCCCGCCCCCTGCCCGCCCCGCGCGGGGACGCGCCCATCCTGACCCAGCCGCAGGTGCAGAGCTGCGCGCCCCATGTGTTCCTGGCCCTGCCCGTCGGGCCGCGGCCCCCGGCCAGACTCCAACTCTTCCCGCAAGGGAAATCTGAACCCTGGCGCGAGGGACGTCACCGAGAGTCCCCACAGCCCTTCTCGAGAGAGATCACACCCAGAGCGTTTCCAAAGTGACAGGGTTCCGGCCACTTCACCCCGTCAACTAGGGGCGCGGCACCTGCCCTGGGCCTCTCAGGAAGACACACCTGTTGTTCCCAGCTCTCGGCCACCCGAGCCCCCACCCCCACCCCGCCCCACTTCCCGGTCTCCAGTGTCCGGGCCCTCAGCTCCTCTGCCCTTGTGTCTCCGTGGAAATCCTTCTCCAACTGAGGTGCTGTCATTCAGCTCGCCTGTGTCCCTTCTGGCTTCAGGGAGACCCGGGAGCTCGCCCATTTCCTCACATCCCGACACCAGGATGCAAGGACTTGGGTCTAGGAGTTCAGCCTGTCCCTCCCTAGTGAGCGCCGAGGCTTTCATGCCACCCGCCCGGTGTGACAGGGCTGTCCCCGCACTCTTAAGCCAGCGCGCACGCACACAGTGGGCTCACAAAACTTGCTGCGTAACGGAGTGAATCCGCGAGTTAACAAACGTCACTTAGAACACCCAGCTGTGTAAGCCTCGAGGTCGGACTCCATCCTGGAGTTCAAGCCACACATATATTCTCTGGGCGCCACCTCTTTTGCGGGTCTCGGCAGCGGTGACGCTGGAAGACGGCAGCACTGCGGGGGGAACCCCAGGCTTGGAGTCAGAGCGCCTGGCAAGGCAGGGGTACACACCTGGGCCTCCGCGCCTAAACCCCAGACGGAGACGCTAAACTTGATTTCAGGGCGCTGCGCGGAGGATTCCGTGAAATAAACACAGTGAAAGCTCACACTCTGCTTGACGACCACACCACGGTGAGCTCGAGTGCTAAGGCCCCAGGTCACAGACGCCTCGTATGCAGCACGCAAGACCCCGGACCCGTACCTAAATCCACGCAGGTGCACTGAGAAAGGCAACCTCTGGGATTTGACCTCAACAACCCAAATAACTTTCATCGGAGCACGCACTGTGGGCATGAACAGATTGCTGAGGTTTCCTCCCTGCTGCCGCAAGCGCCCCGGCAAGAGCCAAGGGCGCTGGTCTGGAACGCGGGGCTCCATCGGGGCGAGAATACTGGGACCCGAGGCGGAGGCACCCAGCTGGGATGAGGCGGTTTGTACAGTATCCGCCCGACGGCGGATTTCCCTGCCCCGGGAAGCCGAGTTCATTTCCAGCGTCCGGCTGGGCCGCCAGAAATGCTTGCAGAGAAGGCCAGGCCGGGAGCTCCTGGCTGGAAGCGCAGGCCTCGCGTGCCTCGGGAGGGGGGCTCTCAGAAGAGGTTGTTAGAGGGTCCCACAGGGGACCCCGAGCGGCAGCGAAACACCCCGACTCTTGCTGGCAATGCGGCTACTGCAGCTCCAGGGCTGGGACGCTCTGCAGAGGCCTGCAGGGAACAGCGCCCTCTTCCCGGCCTTGGGCGTCCGGCTCCTGCCCCTGAATCACCCGGAGCAGAGTGCGCGCCCAGGGACCGCGCTGGCTCAGGTTGGGGAGCCGGCGGCCCCCGGAACGGAGCTCAGAGCAGCCCAGCCGCCTCCAGAGACCCAGGGCAAAAACAGAGAGAACAATGGAGCCGGGCGGAGAGAGTGCTGGTGATCAAGGGCGGTTCCAGCTGTTTAGCTGCCCGCTCGGAGCGCGCCTAGCCTGGGCTGTCTAGGAACCATCTCCTGGAGCTAGCGCGGCTGAGCGCTGGAGCCCTGAGCGCGCCGGAACCCAGGCTCGGCCGCTGCTGCCTGCCTTCGTCGTAGCATCCTCGGGTGTATTCCCGCGTGCGACTGCGTGCGACCGAGCTCACCCTTCTGCAGGCGACGCCAAGGGACGCGAGGTCGCCGTGACCCCGCTCTGGTCATTGCAAGCGCCAGTCCATTCAGAGCTCCTCGCGGGCCCTGCGCGTCCTGTCCCGTGGCGCCCCGTGACCTGCTTTCCCCGTAGCTGATGCCGGTGGTCGGTCCCACCTCTTATGCCTGGGTCGAGGCTCACTCGGTGAATCGAGCGAGGGCTGCATCGCCCGGTCCTGGCTTGGCCCCTGCGGACGCTAGAAAGCGAGGTCTGAAGAGGCGGACGGCGAGTGGCTACGCGGGCTGCGGTGGATCCCGCCTGTGCACCCGCAGGGAACCGAGAGGCGCGCAGACCGGAGTCTGCTCTTCCAGCGCGCGATGCGAGAACTGCGCTCCACGTTTCCTCACTGGCTTGTTTTATCTTTTCTTTTCCTTCTCCCTTCCTTTCATTCTTTTCTTCCCCCTTCTCGCTGGCCTTTCTCCCCTTTTTTCTTACTTCTGTCCTTCCCCTCTCCTTGTAGGAACACTGGATGAAATCTTAGAAATACTCCAAGTTTGCTGGCCTTGAAGTGTCCTAACTCATTCCCCTGACCCAGCCTCACTCTCTTCACCGGTAAAATGGGGGTAACACATAGCACTTAGTGCTTCTGAAAATTCCTCATATACTTTAATGGAATGAGAAAGAATGTTTCAAACAGTTTTTTTTAATAAAGGTTATCGTTTTCCTTATCGTTTCCACAGAAGCATTTCAGCATCTCTAGGGGGATGGAGAGAGGGAGGAGCAGGAGGAAGAGAAGGAGGAGGATGAAGAGGAGGAGGAGGAGGAGGAGGAGGAGGAGGAGGAAGTGGGTCGCAGGTCCCCACCCTGTGCAGCTGCAGCAGCCCTGCCCACGGCTGAGAACCGCTCAGGCTCTAAGCTCTGATGTCACCAAGTGTGACCAGGTGGAGGGAGGGTCAGCTCCAAGGCTGGGCCATGGTATGTTGTTGGATGCAGATGTCTTGTTGTTCTTTATCCCCTGCACCTGGCCAGAGGTGCAAACCATGTTGTCACCATCTTTGCTCACAGTGCACCATGTGTGCATGGTAGACAGTCTTTGTGAAGCACATTGCCTTGCTCAGGCTCACCCCTGTCTCCACACAACCTCTGCGGAATAGGGAGCCTGAGTCCAAGACTGAGTCCTTTCCCAGATAAAAGCAGGAAGCAGAAATCCCACGGAGGCACCTTTCGACCTTGAGCCTCTGCTGCCTGATCCCTGTGTGCCAGGGCAAGGGCTTCTCTGCAGCTGCCATGGTCTCCTGTCCTCTGCCTTTTCTGGTCCCAGCAGACTTCTCTCACTTGTATGCTGGAAACTCAGGCAAGTGTGCAAACTCTGCTGGCGGGGGGGGGGGGGGGAGCCCGAGAGCCAGGGACCCAGCCAGCCCCTTCCCTACCCTCTGGAGCCCCCACCTTGTGCACAATAGCACTGTTCTACACATCACTGTGCTCAGAGTTCCTCATTTCTAACCCACAGAAATCTCTCAGGCCATTAGGAGAAACCCACCAAGGTTCCTAATTTAGAATAACTTTCCGTGCGGGGAGGGGGTAAAAATGAACAGCAGGGGTTTAAGATGAACCTGCAGGCTTAACCAAGCCCGGTGAAGCAGACAGCCGAGGGACATATGGGCAGAGCTGCTCCCAGGCTCTTGGGGTCCTTAGCTCTTCTACTGGTGGCAGGGGAAAGGAATTTTCAGACTAGACTGCCCCTGGCTGTGGGTGGATCATCAAGGCCATCATGGAAGAGTGGATTAATAGCAAGGCGATGCCAAGGTACAAAGCCCCCAAGTTTTCTCCAGGTGCTCCTCATGAGGCACCCCTCCAGCCCACAGGCATGGCAGTTCTCCTGTGACCCTTGTGACCATGCAGGTGTGAGAGCAGAACCCCTGTCTCCAGTCCCTCCTGTCACCACTGGCTGCGCAAACCTCAGCAAAAGTCACTTATCTGGGGTGGAGGGCATCTCAGAAGCCCTGAGGGACAAAGGACGACATGACCACGCTGTGTGCGCCTTGCAAAGAGTGTGCGCGGGGCCAGAGTTTCGGTCATGATGCGAACAGACTTCTCTGTCAGGCCTGTCACTCTGAGTGCCCCTGGGGCCTCCTCAAAGGGAGCATCTGTGGCAGATGACTGCATAGAAGTGATCTTTCTTAGGACAGAACTCCAAAGTCCCAAGTTTTGATGGAAAAGTCAACAAATTTCTATAAAAACTAATGATTGATTCAAGGCAGTATCCTTCTTTCTTTCCTTTTCTGTTTCTATTTTTGTTTATCCAACTGCCTCTTCCAAAATGCCTGAGGAAGCGGTGGAGAGCGGATCCCATGCCACTCCTCAGGTAATGCAGCCTGGGAAAAGTCCGTGCCCTGGGGCTCCTGGCTGAGGAGTGATGCCCAAGAATCCCATCTCTGAGAATTTAAGGGAAAAAACCATAAAATAGTATTAATTTGCAACCCATCCATTAAAGCAGTCTCTTTAGCCAAGAGGCTGAGGACAGTGTTTGTTTAGCTTAAGAGACTCCTTTAATGGTGGGATTGCAAGCTGTCCTTATGTTGCATTTCCTATACAAAATGCCAAGAAAAGTAAAGCATCCTGCAGGGAGGTGCGCAGGAGACACAGTGTCCCCACAGGATGGTGCTCAGGTTGGAAACTAAAACACACACGCCCGGCAACTCGGGGGCTTCCTCAAAGCAGGCACTGAGCAGCAACCATTAAGAACAATTTTTACTAAAACTCTGCAAGACTGTGAGGTCCACAGGTCAGGTGTAGTGACCTTGAAGAAGAATTTGTCAGCACTCTTGGGGGGACGTGGGGTGTGGGCTCAGGCAGGAGGCAGAGGG